AACCTATAGTTATCTAGTGATGAATGCAATTTTGTTCTTTCTGCTGGGTTTTGTCAGGTGTTACATGGGGATGATAATACAAAACACACAAGATGGTGATTATCAAAGGGGACTCTGATGTGGAATGGAAGTAGAAAATTTAATAATTCAGAGGGTTAACCTATTATTTTTGAAATTAGGTACTTTGCAGTAGGATTTTTTTTTGGGGGGGGATAATTTTTGCCAAGATGTGTAGCAAGTTTACTTTTTTCCCCCTCTGGAGGTTGTGTTAAAAAAAATTATTTGAAAACTGGGGAAAACGGGATGACTTGTAAGCAATAAATGTCAATTCTACTACAGTTTTTTTGACAGAAAATGCAGTTTGAACAGTTTCATGACAATTTTTTTGGACTTGTATAATTATGAACTATTTTAGGTTTTCTTTTTTCTTGGAAAATATTAAGAACATTTGCATTTTATCCTTTTTAGTAAAATATTACTATCCTTTTTTGTCAATGATTTGTGTTTCTGAAGAAACCATTATTCCATCAGTATTAAATTGATGAATGATTTTTTCCTATTTGTTATGGTAAAAGAGCTTGGTCATAGGAGGATTTTTTAAAAGAGTCAAGTGATGAAAAATCCTAATGGATTTCAGGTACATTAAAAGCAATTCTTTCATATCAACATTAATAGGAAATTTGAATTATCCCAGATGTCACTTCACAGATGCAGTATTTAAAGAATATTTTTTAATTGCGCTGGCTTATCTGGCTTAGATTGGCATGTCTGAAATGTTCCTCAGGTGTTGATCACCCCAAAAAAAATCTAATGAGCTTCATCTAAGTGGTTACTGTGACAGTAAAAACGGGAAGTGCTCAGCTACACAGCTGTCAGCTACTGTACACAGCCTGTAAAACTTCATGGGCTACAGACTGAGCTGCAGATACATGATCCCATATTCCCTGCTGTCACTATTACAGGGCAGCGACAAACTGCCTTATCATTAACTCTGTGAATGAAGAAGCTGTGTATGAGACCACTGGAGCAAGTTAAGAATAATATATGCATTTTTTTTAAACTGCTTTTAAATTTTTTCTTTCTGTTCTGAGGTAGTAATGGAATTTCAGGCTATCCCTCCAGGATGTGCTGCTGGTTGCATCTGAGAACTAATGTTTCTGCCTACCATGGGTCTATAAACTCTGTTTAAAAAACCCCAAATCCTAACACCTGCATTTTTCAAGCTGTTAGACAGAGATAGGCATTGCTTTGGCTGCTTGTCCCCATACGAATGGCAAGATTTATGACTCTTCTGTCTGCTTATCTAAAGGCTTGCAGTGCATTCCTCAATTTGATTATTAATAAGGCTATCCTGAACACAAAGTGAAGCAGCAGCAAAGAAAAGCCTGCTTGGGAGGGAACAACATGACACAGTATGCTGTGACAGCCTCTGGATACCACTATCCCTTCATAATTGAGTATATCTGAACTGGAAAGCCAATTCTTTTATTTTCCTTTCCATTTTATAAAAAAAAATGCAATGTAATTAATGGATTGTCTCCCAGTATTAAGCCAGTGGATTTGCATGACAGTGTTTAAAAATAGTCAGTGTTTTAATTTTTTTACTATTTTTGCATACTCAGTAACAAATAGGAACACAATATTAAAGTCACTGAATAAGTTTGTATTTCTTATGCAATAGTAGAAAAGCACCATTTAAAACTTTTCATTCTTGTCAATGCATGAACTCATTTATGTGTCTTTGCTGAGCATCTCGGAAACATCTAATGCATAGACTTCCAAGCAAACTTACAGGGTTTCTCCATCTGGAGGATGAGGATCTGGTTTTTTTAATATATTCTGATATTCAGAATTCAGACATTTGTCTGTCTGAGCTCCTGGTCTTAGCAGTTGAGTTCAATTTAAACTAAATAAATGTTCAATTAAACAATGGTGTGTTTTTATGTGCTGTATCAGCTTGGCCAAAGCTGTATTCACTGCTGAGGAACCTGGAGTTTTCAGTCATTTTGCATATTATTAGGACATGATACACTTTTGAGAACCAGTTGATTTGAGTCTCTTAGTGTGAAGGTTATAATGAACCTGCCAGCATCCAAAATATTTTGTTATATATTTTACTAAACTGAAATGAAAGGAACCTAGTGGATTTTTGGCAACATACAGCTTAGAAAATAGCTAGGAATCTTCAAATATATGGTCTACTTTATATTCCTCTAGAGTTCTTTTTTTTTTTATTTTCAGTGTCTACCTAGTGTAAAATGTGAAAATATTCAGGAGGAGAAAATAAGTTTTCCTTCCTCCTAGCAAAATATCCTAATGATAGAATCATAGAAACAGGTTATTCTACTTCTCTTTTTCTTAGGACTGGAAATATACCCTGAAACAGACGGACCATATGATGCCAGGTTTGGGGTTTTTTTATCACAGGGATAGAGAATAAGTCAGTGAGTGAGGGAAGAAATCACTGAATGGTGTATGTGGACAATTATACATCATGGCCACTCACAGGAGATGTCATCTTCATAAAATTGTCTTGCTATGTGATGGACTGTCACGAACATTAAGAGTTACCTAGATAGGCAAGGTCAAAATAAAATTTCTCTTCCTCCCTTTTTTTTCAATGCTGAGAGCAGTGGCTGAATCTTTGACAGAGAATTTCCAGTCTCAAGGATTTAGAAATCAGTATAATGAAAAATGCTGATTTTTAAAGAGGGAAGGTTGTATTGAGCTTCAGACACATGGATATTAGAGAATAAATCTTCCAATGTAAAACTTCAGGAGAACCAAGAAACTGTAATGTTTATTTCTTTTAATTAATTCATTTAGCTTAGGATATAGTTAGGATTTCCTAATTGTTTGTGTCATACTGGATTATTCAAATATAATTGAATAACTGCCCTCCAGATGCCTTAGGAAAGCCTCTGAAATCTATCTTAATTTTAATTTTGTTAATGGAAACGTCTTTTTATTGTGTCTGAATATCTATACTTATAATTTAACTAAGTTTTGGATTTCTGCAGCAATTTAAAAGTATTTTTCCCAAATCAAAATACTGTCCTCCTATATGTCACCATTTGAAGTGCAATGCTTAGATTCTGTAAGTTTTAGCAGCACAAAAGCTTGTCTATTAGAATGTTTCCCTGAACAGAGCACTCCATTAACTTCAAAAGCAGTAGGTTGCCTTTCATGTTCATATTCCATTATGGTGCAAATAAACATGGTGGGGTTTTTGAGTTTTAAAGTGTACTAGGCTTATATATTTACTGAACAGTAAGTTTCTTTGGCTTGAGCTCTGAGAGTTTTGTTAATATTGGTTACTGAAGATATTGAAATTTTTCCTAAGAGTCTGCCTTTCCCTTCATTGCCTCTTTTCCAGTTTGAAATGACTAAAGCTTAAATAATTATTAGTCATATCTTATCTCAGTGGCAAGGGCTTGTGCTTTTAAAGTAATATTATATGAGCATCTGCTCCTATGGCTCTTGCCAGCAATTAAAAGGCTGATCTGCAGGAAAAGAAGGTTAACACCTCAGTTTGTAGTGAGAAATGTATTGCAAGAGGAAGAGTATTTGCAAAACCAAACAGCCTTTTATATTTCATACTATCAGTAAATAGTAAATACATATTTTTGCTTTAACAACAGTTTATGTGCTTGGTTACTCACAAGAGTGTTTAGAAACTGGCTGCAGTTTTTGAAGTTTAGTTTGATCCAGACACTGGATATTCAGATTCTGAGAACTTCTTGATGAGAAAGTAGCAGTGTTGAATAGAATTTTTTTAGACAGTACGAGTCCAAGAAGCAACATCACTTTGGAAATGAATAAATACAAGCAAGGAGAGAGTGAATGAGTAACATTCTTTTCAGAGACACAATACCTGGCTTGTAATTAGTGATCCTGTGATGATGGCCATTGTCTGTCCTTTAGAAATGACAGGTCTCTGTTAAAATGAGGGCTGAAAGGAGCGTAAGGATACTGATCATTTTCCTGAGGCATTCCATGTCACCACAGTAAGGACACATCTTCAAATTACTTTTATTGTCACTGTATCCTTGACTTTTCCAGATCCAAGAATACATTATGTTACCTCAAAGTATGTATAAATTTACATTCTATGGACAATGATATCTCATTAATGAGAAAAGCTGATGCACAGCATTTTCTCACAAACATATTTGCTTCATTTAAGATGAAGGTTGGCTCAAAAGTGTTCTAGAAATTGTTTATTATTTGAGACATGGCCTACTCTGGTGGCATGCCTTGTTTTGGGATGTTTTCATTGCAGGCTAGAGGTTATGCAGGGTGTAGTTTCTTTGATTCCTGTATTTACTGAGAATGAAGTTAACATCTACTTGCACGTCAGGGCAAAAGAGCAAAGTCTGAACTTTTTGCTCAACATATTTACCAGTTCAGGCAAACAGCCATGCTAAAATATCTCTCCATTTTAGTTTCTGGAGACAATTTGAGGCATCCCAGTTCTATGCTCCTTTGTATATTATATTTTCAGTGAACTGCCAAGTTCATTATTAATACATTTTAAATAGCAAGAATCCATAAGTCTCCCTTCCACCTGCCACACACATATAGGTTGTGGAAGATCTGGAAGGGACAAATGTATTCATTTCAAGTTTAATTATATAAAATAGTAACAATAGTGATAGTAGCTATGCAATAATTTAGTACACTTCATCCCTCTCCTATTTTGCTTCTAAATTGTGCAGTTAATAAATAATGCTGCACTTTTTTTATGTTCACAACACTCAAATGAGTATTGAATAGAAAAAAGTAACAGGTTTTCCTTAAGGTAAGTTCTAATTGTTGCTGGTTTACTTATTGCTTGACTCAAAGCTCATCAGAATCATGACTTGGACTGTATCAGGTTTATGGAATTAAATACTTTGGGCTGATGAATCTTTTCCAAAAGGATTATTAAGGATGTTATTTTATGCCCTTTTTGCTCACTAGTGGTTTTTCTTGTTCTTTTTTCTTTGTTCCTCTACCAGGAGGCATTTTTGAGTGTGTGGAATCTGGTCCAATGGGAGCAGAAGAATTAGCCTTCAGATTTGCTGTGAACACAATCAACAGAAACAGAACTCTTCTGCCAAACACCACGTTAACGTACGATACACAAAAGATAAATCTTTATGACAGTTTTGAAGCATCCAAAAAAGGTAACCTTTTGCATATTTAGTTTTTCTAATGAAGGACTAAGTCTCACTCAATTTACTTACCTGAAAAAATGTCTATCTGATGAAGCCATATGCAATGAGACTGACATTATTGTCACCGACATTAAAGAGCTGCTTTATTAAAGGCTGTAATGGTAACTGCTTGACAATTACATTGCCACCTTTGCTCCCCCTAACCCTATCTAAAAGCTATTCCCTTAAATATTTAAAATCTGAAATTAATTTTGCTGAACATTGTGACTAGGGTGTTTATTATACCAGCTCCTTTGAAGTGAGAAATCTCACTGTCTTCAAAATTTATCCAGCAAAATGTCAAGTTCCCCAAAATTCTACTGAAACTGGAATTCAATTTTAAACATTCACTCACTTCAAGTACATTTTCACAAATGCCTTTATATAGTTAATCACAGACTTTGAAAGGGGAGTAGTAGTTGTAACTTTGTGCATCTTATACCAGCATGGCATAAAAATAAGCCTAAATATTAAGTCTGTGCTTAAGATTATCACTATCAGATACATGACTTGGCCTGAGTTAAGCTCTTTTTTCCTAACTACAATTTACATGTTTACAGAAGAATTAAGAGTAAAAATTAAGTTTGAACATTTTCCATAAATTTTAAAATCTTTGATTCTCAAAAATAAAAATCCAAATTTTCAGATTGCTTTACTTTTAAGTCGGAGACAATAGGCACAAATTTCTGCATCATTGTTGTATCATAGAAAGTGAAAATACTAAAAAGTTCAATAAGTATTTATGGAAGAAAGTACAAAGCCTCGTGTCAAAACTCAATAAGACTGAATTTTGCACTGTATTACATGCTCTTTAAAAACACTTTCCTTATAAATTGAAAAGGTAATTTCATATGAATGCCATTTGCAACAAAACAATAAGAAGGGTGAAAGAATTGGAGGTCAGCCTGAATTACTTATGGCAGGTTTCTAGCCTAAATCCGTCAAGTGATCTGGTCCCAACATGTCTCTCCCAAGCATTAAAGACAAAAAGCTTTATACAATAAGGGATATTTGGTGTTATGGTGGGCTAAGAAGAGTGAAAAAACTTGATACAACATTAGATATTATACATAAGGGAAAGCTCCTGTGACATGATTAATGTACGTGACGGACATCTCAAAAGTGGAATTTAATGCTAGTTTAGAACTGAATGGAAATTTTTACTGCTTTTACTATAAGAGATTAACAGTGAATCTTGCTAACCTGTTTGTCTGTTTATTTGACAAGTAAATAATTCAAATATAAATTTTGTTAGGCATGAAAAGAGAGTATCCATATTTGTACAGACATACAGTTTGGTCATTGAAAGATTATTACGAAAAATTGTCATGAAAATTGGTCATTTTTCATGTATGAAAAATTATAGGCTAGACATTTATGCCTAGCAAGATGATTTCTTTGCAGAGTAGCATGTATGATAGAAGAAAGAGGAAAAACTGCACTTTTAATAGAGTATCTTTCAGTTGTTATTCTAGTGTTTTGGGTGATGGACTAAAATGGGTTTTGAGAGAAACTACTCTTTCCTTTCCATCTCAGCCAACAGTGAATAAAAGTGCTGAATCTTAATTCTGTTTCTTTCGTTCTCCTTTCCTTCTCACCTTCCAAATTCAACTGCTTCCTGACTCCTGCACATGCTGACCTGTGAAATCTAATGGGACATTTTCTCCCTATTCCTGGGGGAGGATGCAGACAGCAGAGACATTTCTCCTGAGATCTCTAATTCTTTGATTCTTTGCTGAGAAAATGCAACTACTTTTAGTCCTTACCTGGGGTTTGCTCGCCTGAATATTATGTTGCTAATTCTTGTTAGACTGTAATAGCTGAAATTAGAATGACAATGTGCTATTGATTAGACATATTGAATAGAATGCATATATTCCTTTTTCCCACTTGCATCTTGGATGAAAAAGCAACATTTTATTTGTAACTGCTCATGATATATCAAAATCTGTGTAATCTTCTAGTACTAATAGCTTTTTGCATCATCAATTCACAATACAGACAACTGCATTTGCGCTCACAGGTGCTTTAGTTCAGAATCAGAGGCTAAAGGTTAACACAAAATGGTTCATTTTATTATGATGGATACAAAGCAGAATTTTAACAATGAAGTTTAAGCATTTGACTCATTTTTGTGGTTCATTATCATGTCCATTAGTGAGCAGGCAGGCACTGCATCAAAAATAGCCTGTTTAGACCTCTTATTAACACATACTTTTGAAGTTGAATATAGATGAAATATTAATGGCTTTTTAAAGGTACTATATGAATAAGCAACATGAAGTCAAGAAGATATTTCCAAGTTACTGTTGCAGTGAAGAATAATGTAAATGCAACAAAATATCCCATAACATTCTAGGAAAATTGGTATGCATCTGATAGAGCCAGTGCCATATTAAATCACGTGTGAAAGCATTGCATTATTCAAATCTCAGAAAGGGAAAAAAAAAGTCCATTGAAAAGCCATCTGGTAGCTATTGCTGTTGTTAGTGATCCCATTTAACTGACATTTGCATAAAGCTTGTTGATTACTCTTAGGAAGGGCAATATTAGCATAAATGTTTTTTTATTGAGCTAGTCATTTAGGCAACACATCGAATAGCAATGAAGATCTTGTGTTTCTGACAAGTTTATTTAAACCACCGGTGCTCTGCAGCAATAAAAAGGTGTGCCAGCACAGTTTCTGGAATGCTCTTGAAAGACTTAGCCATATTTTCATCAAGTTGAAAAGAATGTGCACAACAATTAATTTTGAATTGATGAGAAAAGCAATGCAGCAAGATGTATTTCTACTGCTTGTTTCCTCAGCTGTCAGGAACACTGATGGTGGAGTAACAGAATTAATCAAACCCAGTATAAATACTCATGTCTAGTTTGGTTTTCATTACTTCTTTGTACCAAATGAGTTGTTTTCCCAAAAGACAGAGTCTGTTTTTCAGAGCTGTGTACTCGTAAATTTATGCCTGTGGTAGTGAGTGAGATAGGAGCAAGGCATTGGCAAAAACTCTGGTCTTCAGTATTGATTATTTTTTCCTGCCTTCTTTTTGTCATGTTCTAACAAATATTCAACAAGGTGATACTGGAGTGTACTGTGGGAGATTATAGAGACCAGAGATTGCTAATGAACAGTACAGGTAGGGCCACTCTGTACCAGAAAACAGGAAGCTGAGTCACTTGAATGCAGCAGTATTATGCCAGTGGCTCTCAGGGCCAGTTTTGTATACAAGTATAGCAAAACTGAGCATTTCCAGTTTTTAAGAAGGGACATCTAATTTTTTTTTGCTAACAGACAACAATTTAATTTTAGGGAAAATATTGCTTCTTTAATTGTACTAACCAACATACCTATTTCAGATACAGAAAGTCAAATGTTCATTTTAATGAAATTAACTCTGTGCCTGATAATTAACTGTGGGGTACTTAGCATGTAAAATTTCTGAGTAATTAGGACTTCAGTGGAAGTAGTGGTGACTGATTGAGGAGGAAGTTGTCACTTAAATAAACCAGATTAGGATACTGTCCTATTCGACCCTTTTCTAAATGCAAGAAGCAGCTAAGCACAAACCTATTTTATTCATCAGTACTTTTTAAAAGACATGATTACTGGCCTTTATAGCTTCCACTGACATAGGAATGTTTAATGAACATAGCTGAGCACTATTTAGATGTTAAGAGTCAATATTGATCAGTTTATAATGAAAGCCTGGATGCGTATTCTGAAGTTGAAATGTGTTACACAAGAAGGGAGCTCTGTCAGCAAGACAGTCATATTTCATGGAGTGCCTTTTGTTCAATATTGTGCAATACCTTCTGGCACACTGCCTTTTTTCCTCTCATCATTGACAGACTTCTGTCTCCTCTTCAGCCTGTGATCAGCTGTCCCTCGGGGTGGCGGCCATCTTCGGCCCGTCCCACAGCTCCTCAGCCAACGCCGTGCAGTCCATCTGCAACGCCTTGGGGGTTCCACACATCCAGACCCGCTGGAAACATCAGGTGTCGGACAACAAGGACTCCTTCTATGTCAGCCTCTATCCGGATTTCTCTTCACTCAGCCGTGCCATCCTTGACCTTGTGCAGTTCTTCAAGTGGAAAACAGTTACTGTTGTTTACGATGACAGCACTGGTAAGGCCAAAGCATCAGGCTGCGTGCAGATCCATTCTATACATACACAAAGAGAGGGAGGAAGGGTGTCACTACTCATATTCCATAATTTAAGAAATAGTTTGCAAGAATTTTATGGGTAAGGCAGTGTATAACAAATAATGTGGACTTATTAGCATAAGTATTCTCATAAGTATGCTTCAGTTGCTGAATTCTGTGTGTTTGAGCTCACAGCTGTCAATAAATTGGTCACACTCTGTCTGTGTTTTCTGCAGTGTCTTAACAGTTGCTAACAGCTATGTCTTTTGATTTTACTTAAAACTTAAACTTGGAAGAAAAATATAGTAACTTGAAAAATACACTAGTGTACTCAGTGAAGTAGAAATCTTAAATTCTGGTGCTGCTTCTGGTGTTGGTTGAGTTCGAAAACAGATGCCATATTTGTTTGGAATTTTAGTATCTGTTTCTTCAGATAGAAGTGAAGAAAGAGCCCTGATTTCAGCTCCTAATAGTTGGACCAAAAGGAAATTTGGAGGCTTGTTTTCCAGATGAATTACAGGAGTTAAAATTAACTCTCGAATTTTCCAGCAGAAATACACTAGGTTATTACCTTTCTCTTAGTCATTCTAAAAGTTGTTTTGCCTTTCAGTTTCACCTTGACAGGGGTACCTTTGAAAAATGCTGTAAAACTTACATTTCATTTGAGGTCTAGTCGTGGTTAGAAATAAGACTTTGATTAAGAGGAAAATATCACCATAATGGAAATTACAAGAAAGGTGCTTGGCCAAAGAAGACATATTAAATCTTATGGGAAATGCTGGTAACTTCTTCCATGCTGGCTGATCCATCATTGTCAGGAAAAGAGCATAGGGAGCCCCAAATTCTTCTCATGGTTCATTGAACCAGAAGGCTGCTGATGTCCTCATTAAATGAGGCTACTCTCTATCCAAAGCTGAAAAAAATAAGATCAAGAAACAAAATTAGTCTTCCTGTAGGGAAGACTAACTGTGCTAGATAAACAGCAGTTACTGTGCCAGGACAGAACACCTGCCTGCAGTTCAAGCTCAGATAAGGTGCATGTGTAGCTACCAAAAGGTGAGGAGGGAGCAGAGAAGATGGTGCATAAAAGTCCTTATAACTGATAATTTTTCTTTATGCCTTTTAAAAAATTGTAAGACAGGGACATTTAGAGGCTGCCTCACTACAAGTTTGTTGGCTGATGTTACCAAAAGTTTCAGGTAGTCAAACTTTCAATTTAAGCTTTAAAATCAAGCTTTACAGACCTAAGCAAGCAATATGTAGCTTGTTTTTTTTTTTCACATTTTTATCTATTATTGCTCTGAAATAGGAAAGCAAGCTAAATTCTCAAATTTTAACCAAATTATGATAGAAAGAAGTGAGTTGTGGTGATTAAGGTTTGTGTAAATTGGAGATATTTCACCTTGATTAAAATCCTTTGGAGCCTAGCTCTTTTTCCAAGAACAGGTTACCTCTTAAAAAAGTAAATTCCATTAGAAAATTCATATGTTTTAATACTTTGAAACTGCTTTGCTCAATAATTTCAAGTAATTCTTTTCTGTCCAAAGAAAAAGTAAAATTCTTTCTGTCCAAAAGAATACTTCGTGTTTAATGATCGCTTAATATCCAGAGATATGTTGTTGACAGCCTTGATAGACCTGATCTCAATAAAACATGTTTTGAAGCCAGGACATAAATAGAAATGGGAAAGAAAATTAAAAAAAAAGGTTTTCTTATATCTATTTTGATCTACTTGTTTTAAGTGGTTTTACTGTTAATATTTGAGAGAGAAAAAACCCCAAACATATTCTATTTTAGAACAATTTTTAAATAAATTTCACAATGAATTAGTAGATTGAGTTATTTAATCTATTTGAAAAGCATAAAGACTTGTTCCAGGATATAATCTCTTTGAAATGATATTTCTTTCTGGAGTGGCCAGGTCCTTTATATTATAATACTGCTTGTTCCCATAATCTAATCTATAACATTATTTGTTTTTGTCTTGAAGTCTATTTCTGTTTGAAGAGGCAGAAAAAAACCCATCTGTTTTAAAAAGGTTATCTTCTCTCTTTTTATTGTGGTGTTTTCTCTAAAGTGAACTTAAATTCAACTTTTTAAAGACTGTCCACTTCTCTTTGTTAGTAGCATCTCTTATGGATAATTCCAGGACTTAAAAAGCAAATGACCCTGCTGGGGAGTCCACAGCATCACTTGCTTTTGAAGCACATACAGGGACAACTCTTAGCTATGAGAAACTATTAGTCTGAAAGAAGCAGATTCTGTCTATCTGCTGGAGTTTCAGTGCAAGCTGATGGTTTTTGAGGCCAGGGGAGAGGAACCTTTTGAAAGGAAGTTGTCACTTGATTTTGGGAAGTGGTTCTCTCCTGTCATAGGACAAGACAAATATTCAGTTATGAGTCTGGGACTGGAGCTCAATATGATGTTTCAACTAAGATTTAGAAATTGTGTTGTATGACTTGTGCCATTTAAGACCTTATTACAAATCATTAAAATGAAGGCAATGAATACAAAATATTTATAGCTGTTTATTTCTGTTTCGTGCATTTGATCAGTGATTCTTTAATGTAAGATGGACATAATTCTTAATTCCTTTTTTTTTGTTTCTCTTCTAATCACCTACATTTTGCACTCCCTTATTGGATGGTAGTTGAGGATGATGGTATATGCCTTTTTTAATGATGACTTTAGAGCTATGGATTTCCTTTATCTGACTGGACAATTCCCCAAAGGGCATGCTGGTCAAGACATTAATATGCTGGTATAGCAGCTACAGTGATAATTTAATTGCTAAAACTACTTTTTTTTTTTGATATTCATATTTGCTTTATGTATTTTTATTATTATTGTAAACATAGATACAAAGGCAGCTGATACTTTTATTATAGGGAGGAAGAAAAGGTATAAAGCATGCATAAACTAGGTCTGGATACTTCTCCAATAAGTTATCAGGGCTTTTCCATTTGTCAAGGCCCTCCAAGATGGCAGGTAGACTCTGAGGAAAAGCATGATTTCATGTGATAAATACATTCTAAAAATGTGTTCATCTCCTTAAATATTAGGGCTCAGTTTAATGAATTTTCTAAGGAATTGCTAACGTTTTGTAATAATAAAGGAGAGATCACCTGCTTCAGAGCTGAAAAAAAATAAATTGTGACCATGTTCTTTATCTCAGTGTGGGATATATCTTCTAGAGTAAAAACAAATGGTAAAACTGTGTGGTTATTTGACACTTTGCAGCCAGAAAAGGGCCATGTTAACTTTAGTGCCACTCCCAGAGGTGTGCTGGAGACCAATACTGTCCAACTGCACAGTCCAACTGCCCCTAGACAGTGGGGACATTGTGTCCAACTGTATTCAATCCCCCAAATTTCTACCTTGTTTGAAGGAAGGCCATTTATGTGACTGATCCATGTAAGTGTAGAAGTCTTCCATATGGTTTTTTGTGTCTTTCAATCCACAGAGGAGCTGCCTTCAAAAAATTAAGGTGAGGTATCCGTGCCTCTGAAGATGGGATTGTCACTAGATGATGTTTAAGGTTCCTTCCAACCCAAACTATTTTATGATTCTATGAGATGTATGAAATAGATATTTGTATTTGGTCCGGATTTAATTTGATTTGAGATTGGGAGGTATGAAGGTGGTAAGGAGGAAGTCAGTGCTTGTTTAGAGCCCAGTTTGAAATGAGAGAGAAAATTTGGAATCCCAGTTTCCCTTTGTAGTACTCTTAGAGATTACTACTAAGAACAGACATTTCTTTGTTGTCTCCCTCTTTGAAGCATTCTCCCTACATTCTCCAAGAAGGAAAAGCGGTACATCTTACTCCTAATTTGAGAAAAGGCATAAGTTGTTTTTAATACACTGTGGGTGGTAACTAGACCCTGGCCCATGCTTT